TGACGGATGGTAGTAAACATAATAACCCATCTTGAGGCAAAGTTTCATCCAAATCAAACATGGCCATTTTTTTTAAATCGACTTTAAATTTTAAAAATCGATTTTTTTTAGTGTAGGTCTCGAATGGAATTTTTGTTCAGTATTTTTTTTTCGATAATTTGGTCAATTTCCTAAAAGTCATCCATACAACATATTTTTGTTGGAGTTGCCATTTTTCCATAATATATTTTTGAAAAAAATCAGCAGAAAAAGTTTGGCCCTTCTCAAATGTTAGTCTAGATATATTTTGGAAAAACTGTGTATGCAAAAGTGCTTATTTAGTCAAAGTCTACACATCCAGAAAATTTTATTGAAATCTGAGAGGGTGCTGCCAGCTTCGATTCGATTTGGCGCGAAATGCGTCATAGGCAAAATGTTTTACCCTCCTGGTATGAAGAAACGAATATAAGTGTTGCAGTCCATCAAATGGCGATGAATCAATCATTTCAGCGCTGCCAGCATTGAAAAAAATCACCTCGCATCACCCAGATATTCAGAGAAGTCGAACCGTGATAGGCCTTTTTAATGCATCACCAATGTAGAGTGCGCCAGGCGAGTTCGAGAGGAAACGTCAACTAAGGGATCGTCCATTAATTATGTCACACTTTTGGGGGACGGAGAGTTTTGGAAACTGTGACGAGCCTTACAAAAAACAATTAAGGTCCATGTAAAAAATGTGATAAAGGGGGGAGGGGGGTTGAAAATGGACCAAATTTGCGTGACATAATTAATGGACCTTCACTAAACCGTTTGTTTACATCCGAATAACAGTTTTTCACAACGCAAATTTTATCATTTTTCATTGAAAATCTTGCAATTTATATCAGTAACTGTCTATTTATACGAATTTCCACATATCTGAACTGATTTGCACCTAAATTATTCACACACAAGAAATCCGGATGATCATTACCACTAAAGCTATTATGTAATATATTAAATACTATTACAACTATCCATTTTATGAACAAAAATATTGCTGAACACCAGTTGGATCCTTACAAAAATGATACAGGATTAAATTTGTCAACTGTAGATCAAGTGTTGGAGCATCTCAGCTCAATCAATTTACCAGGCAATTTGAAAAAGTGTTCCGCTTCTATGTCTCACGGCAAAAAATTCTGCTCACAACACTCTTTTTGACGTTTTCCTATTCACAACCAGAGGTTGAATCAATCGCTTGGTTTCTATTAAAAAGGCGTATAGCCATTTTGCCTTGAAAATTCCTTGCCTTAACTGAGTAGACTATCTGCGGATTTTATTTAGTTATACCGAACATCTACGAAGAGATATTGGAGCGTGGACTTTGTATGGAAGCGAGCTGTGAATTTGCTAGTTTAGTGTCAAACAGTGAAGCTATTAGTTAGCTTTAAATCTTGATGAAAGTCTATGGGTTCGACGCCAGAGACGAACAAGCCAATGGCTGAAAGTCTCTTTAATAAACTATCATACATAGCAAAAAATAAATATTAATATTATATCTAGTTGAGCCGGTGGTGTAGTGGTAAGCGTGAAGGGAAGTAAAGCCGTTGGTCCCCGGTTCATGAGTTGATGGGTCGATATGTAGGGGCTAGGTGTGGGTGCTGCCTTCCTGGCGTCGGTAGCATTGGTGCTCAGCACGGAAAACAAGATCAACGGAAAACAAATCGAGGAAAAAAAATATTACATCCAAGAGAATGCACTTCTATTATGTTGAAAATCTCATGTAATTTGTACGGCCACAAAAAATAAACAAATGCAGTAAAAGCAGCGTAATGTCACAGTATTGGCAAATCAAAGTTGGCACTCGTGGAGAATAGATGAACTATGAAAGTGATGATGGTTTCAAAATTTTACACGGTGAGGTATACGAGTTCAATCTTAAAATGCCTTTATTTTGCAAATGGAACATTTTATTTAAATCTGGTTAGTGCTACGTTAGTAGAAAACTTAAGGACCACTCAAAAGGTATATAATATAGAAAAAATAATTTCTTTTCAGATTTTTAGGTGTATGCATACATTTCAGCTTTTCTACAACTGTAGCAACAACCAGATTTAAATTCAATGCTCAGTTTTCAAAATAAAAGCATTTTAAGATTGCACTCGTATACCTGTCCGTGGAAAATTTTGAAACCATCATCACTTTCATAGTTCGTCTATTCTCCACGAGTGGCAACTTTGATTTTCCAATTAGCAATCATTTTGTCCTTTTTGGCTAATAATATTACACCATATTTTCGACACGATGGAAGTGCATCCATTTTGATGTGATATCAAAATTAATATTTTGCTGTGTAACCTAACCTTTGAAAACAAAATCATTGTGCTCAGAAAACGAAATTTCAGATGATAAAATCCGATTTTATTTCTTATTTAAGGGGAAGATTACCACCCTGAAAATAAAAAAATATTTTCGGCACGTTTGTAGTTCTCTAAAAACATTGCAAAAATTATCAAAAATCCAAGAAAATCTGTTTTTTCCTTAGATTCTTGAGAAAATTTACATGTAAAAATAGTTTTTCTATCTCATCATGAAAAAAATATTGGACTCTCGCAAAACCGAAAAGTTGATGTTTTGTGATTTTTTGAGTCTAACTTTATGCCATGATAAATTACAAAAAATATTTTTGCAAGTGAAATTTCTTTAAAAAATACGAAAAAATGTGATTTTTTTTAGATTTTTGATATCTTTTCCAAATAATTTTTGAAAAATCGAAACATAATTATTTTTTTCGGAGCAATATGCTTCCCCTTAAAGAACCCAATTGAGCGCTTCCTCGAATGGAGATTTTTCACTAGCTTGGAGGATACAGTGTGTGACCGAACTGTCAGTTGATTTTGACGTTCAAAGTGTCATTTTACATGCTTAATAGACGAGTGCACGGATGGATTTGAGTTCACTCACTCGACAAAAAGTGACACAACAGCGGGGCAATGTTTACTAAAAATGAACACATGAATAATGCTCGAATAACATTTGAAAATGGATTATCAATTTTTCTAAACAACTTGCAAGGTCCTTTTCCCGAGAACCGAAGTATGCTTACGTAAACCAAGAGCACTATCGGGAAGGGGAGAATTTCTCCTATCCGATGGTGTTGTTAGTTTGCGTGGGAGTATTCGGTTCACGTGAAAAGGGCTTAACAAGTCTTGTGTACAAAAGTTGATAGACCCGTTTCAAATGTTACGCGAGCATTATTCATGTGTTCATTTTTAGTAAACAGGGCCCCGCTGTTGTGTCACTTTTTGTCGAGCGAGTGAACTCAAATCCATCCGTGCACTCGTCTATATTGTCTGTTGCAGTTGTGACTGGATTTTTGGGAATATTTTGAGTCGCACTTTGATGGTACGCTGACGAAAAACAACGAACTTTTTGGTTATTTCACTCCTAGAACGCTATTGAGTTTAACACATTTGGAAACAAAAAAGGTTCACCATTTGAATTTAAACACGTCTTAAAATCATTTTCAATCTAATTCATACTTAGAAAACCATATAATTGTTCACAAATAAGTAATTTAGAATTGTTTGCAAAATTGCAAATATTTTGCAAAACTATTTTTACACGTGTTTCGAGTAGAATGCAATGAGAGTGTAAGATCTTGAAATCAAAACAACAACAAAAACCAAAACAGACACTTTGTTGTTGTTGTTTAGTATTCACTTCGGATAAGCATATAACTGTCACTTTGACAACTCTATCTGTCATACGCATGGCCCGCACTTATTTCATCCCCACACTTTCAAAGTGCGGAGTCCAGTAAGGTGCAAAATGCGCAATATTACAGTGTATTAATTGTATTTTCACTTTCAGCGGCGCAATTCGTGTCTTCTGTGAATCGTAAGAGTCGCTCATCTCTTTGCTCTACATCATATTTGAAATTATAATATACCGGCTACTTTTTCGAAGGGACGTATCAGATTTTGTAAACAATGCATTTGATCGTCCAGTTAGCGTAACTGGTAGCTTGCCTACGCATACTTACACTACTATCAGGTAATACGTAAGCGAGCTACCAGTTAAGCCAAACTGACGATCAAATACATTATTTACAAAAAAAAACTAATACGTCCCTTCGAAAAAGCAATCAAAATATGAACTAAAACTCTCAATTTACGTCAATATCCGCATGATTCAGAATGGTGACCAAACGATTGTGAGTGGGAGGAGTTGAGACGGACGCAAACCTTCGAGCAAGTAGTTTTACATCAAATCACCTAAAATATAAAATAAATGGTGTAGTGGTAAGCGTGATTACCTCTCACCCTAGCAGGCCTGCGTTCAATCCCAGTCGGCGCCACCGGGATGTTCTGAGGCATAACATCTCTGATCACGCCTTCCTTCGGAAGGGAAGTAAAGCCGTTGGTCTCCAGTTCATGAGTTGATGGGTCGATAGGTAGGGTCCAGGTGAGGGAGCTGCCTCCCTGGCATCGCGCATCGGTGCAGCACGGAAAACAAATCAAAGGAAAAAAAAGGCGCTTTAAGACAAACGTGTGGAAAGGGGGGAGAGGGGGTAATTTTTTCCTCAATTTAACGTTACATAACTATTGCACGGCTCCTAAGTTTTTTTTTAAAGTTTTCAGTGCACTTATGCCTTATGAAGTTAACATTCATCACCTTTTTCGGGTAGTCCAAATTAAGTTACAATCAGCAATAGCGTTTCTGCACAAAAAAAAACTCTAGAATTATAAATAGGAAAGCAGTTGAAAGCCATGCGGGACCATTTCACCCTAATGAGGGTTGTTTAAAGGATCTGCTAGTCCGTCAACCGGTCCAAAATCCGACCACACTGTTTCGAAGCATGCGCAAATGGAGGTACATGCCACAAGCCGCCCGCATGAATCGCCAAATTCGAACCACGCGCCATGACAACCGTTACGTGTTGCACACGTGAATCAACGCCGCTCTGATGGTTGATTGATTGCAAACTTGTCAATCAACAGCTGGTTGTTTTGGTCGGCGAACAAACCCCTAGCAACCGCCTTGGCGCTATCGACCAAACTCGATTTGCGAAAAGTTTTGCCCCGAAAACTGCTTCGCATCGTCAGAAATTCCTGCACAGTGCAACAACACGGATCGGTTTGATTCTTGGTGGTAATCCGAAATGTCGACGGTGCGCCGTAACGTGGGACGTGGTGGCAAAAGTGTCCGTGGAAAAAGTGGTAAAATTACCACTCCGAAGGGTTCCTCTGTCGCCGGCAGCGTTGCTGGACCACCGAAGGAGAAAATTCCGCCGAAGCAGGACAGCGAAGAATCGGAATCGACGGATGCCGTTTCGTCCTCGGACGAGGAGGAACGCTGGAAGGAGTCCAAGCATACCAATGACGTTCCGTCGGAGTACTGGCACATCCAGAAGCTGGTCAAGTACATGAAGGCGGGCAACCAGACGGCCACGATTGTGGCACTGTGTTGCCTCAAGGACCACGACCTGACGACGCAGATGAACCAACGGGCGATCCAGGACTGCGGCGGACTGGAAGTGCTTGTCAATCTACTCGAGAGCAACGATCTCAAGTGTCGACTGGGAGCACTGACGGTCCTGTCGGAGATCTCGTCCAACTTGGACATCCGCCGATCGATAGTTGACCTAGGAGGTATTCCGCTGTTAGTGCAGATACTGTCGGAACCCGGACGGGACCTGAAGGTAATGGCAGCCGAAACGCTGGGCAACGTGGCCAAGGTGCGGCTGGCGCGGAAGCTGGTCCGCAAATGCGACGGAGTGCCACGGTTGGTCGACCTGCTGGATGTTAATATCAGGTGGGTGGATGGTTTTTGCTCTATCGTTGTTTTTTTTTTCATCGCTCTATTTGGCTGTTTGGAATATTTCCTTCATCGCATAAAAGGCACTTATACCCTTGGAACGTTTGAAAAATGTCAGTTTATCTGAAGGTTGAAATGTTGCGTCTTTGGCTGGAAATGGATTTTTATTTGGCCTTTTTTTTCGGAATTTAATGAGGTAACGTATTTTATAGTTTTAAAACTTTTAAAGAGATGAACTAGCCTTAGGCAAAAATCTCTCTAATAAAGAAAAAAAAAAAAAAAAAGAAAGTTTTAAAACTTGCCCTAATTATTAATTCAACTACCTGAATTGCGTCTTCACGTTTTCATGGCTGTTCACAACTCGAAGTCGGTAATATTGGAAAAGCTACTGAAAATTTAAAGCTATACGCATGACCCAGATAGACATTATATTTCTCTACAACTTTATCTCAGACGTCATTTTGATCAGAAGTGACGTTTTCTTGCAACAATGTATTGATAAATGACAAAAAGGCCAATTTGAAAAAAAATGCAAGATCCAAAATGGCTGATTTTTTGCCAAAATGGGAATGATTGCCACACAGCCAAAAATAAATTTTAATGTTACATCCAAGAGGATGCACTTCAGTCATGTCGAAAATCTCATGTAATTTTTATGGCCACAAAAATAAACAAATGCAGTAAAAGCAGCATAATGTCAGTTCATGCACTGTATTAATAATAATTTTGTCGTTTTTGGCAAGTAATATTACACAATATTTTCGACACGATTGAAGTGCATCCACTTTGATGTGATATCAAAATTATGTTTTTGCTGTGCATAACAAACAATTGTGCAAAGTTTTATGCAAATCGGAGAAGGTCATGTTATCCGATTCGTCTTTTGGCGTGGAACTACTCATATGTACACCCCCGACCATAAGATTGGGGTCACCCCCAAAAAAACATTGTAATGTGTTATTACCATTACATGTTATTAACGCCCAATTTTCGACTCTTTAGGTCATTTGAAAGGTATTGAATGGAATTTTCTTCGTAGGTAAATGGCTCAATATAATGTTCGAATTGTGTATGATAAAAGTTCATTTAAAGTTACAACATTTTTCAAATTTTACTCTAAATAATCATGACTAATTTGTTCAGAATTGGGTTGGCAAAATTTTGAAATTAAAATACTAGTAGAACAATTATTATATTCCCAACAGGACACTTTTGCGAACATTTAGATCAATTTATAAAATTTTTAATTCATGAGAATATTTATTCAAGCCACCGAACAAAAGTTTAGGCCCTGGGCTTTGGTAAAACCTCGAGTTTAATTAGGCTACCAGGTCCCAGGACGGATCTGGATCATTACCACATTGGGAAGATGCACACTAATGTTGCCATATCAGTGTTGATGCTTACCAAAAGTGCATATGAACCCGCTTTTAAAAGTATAATCATAGAAAAACAGACGTAACTCTTTGAAAAAGTTTTTCTTGAAAACATAGTATCTCAAAATATAGGACCTCAGTAACGGCATCTCTCGGGCTTCTCACGGAAAACAAGTTTATATTGCATAAATATTACAGAATGTATAGAAACGTCAAAGTGATCCGATGCCAGAACTGTGGCGAGTAGTTCGCGGAACTGCTGATATTCAAATCAACCGTTAAGTGTAAAGATACACAATGAAGAGTTACGTCTGTTTGTCTGTGGTATAAAAACAGATTAATCATTACCGTACATTATTTTTTTGCTAACTGATTTTGATTTTTTTTTTTTTACCAGGAATGCTGGATTTAATCACTGTAAAAATCATCTGTTTGATAACGGATCCTTTATTGAATTTGATTTATTTCTATGGGTATGTACGTTTGGAAAGTATCAGCACAAAGATTCTGCACACGGTCTTGTGAGCAGAAAGTGATTTTTTGAATCTATTTATACAGTCAATTTAATCTTTTAAGGATTTTTCCTAAATGTTGGGATACAAGGGTTTAAAAATCATGGATTTTATTTTTGTATTCGGTGTTTTGAATCTAGGAGAGCACGCTAAGAGACGTATCGTCTGTTTGAAGTAACTTAAATTTGATTTAAAGCAGTACAGACCTCTCAGTAATGAATTCAGGTATAATTAAATAGCTTATTCAAATTCAACATTATATCTAGCTTACACATTTCATATCATTTGGTAGCATCGTAGGCAACTCAATTAAAAAAACATCCAACCACCTACCTCAATCTAATCATTATCCCTTCCCATGGCGATCATGTAGCCTGAATGTGACGAGTCAGCTATCTATCGGCTTTGGATTGACTTGTGCTCTTAATGCCCCATCATGCGCTGCAAAATGAATAAATGAAAATGAAAGTCACCGATCAAAAGTTTAGTGTCACCACACAGTATGGCGTTTCACTGATGTATTTTAAGGTGATATGTTACTTTAAAAAAATATATGTTAAGCTGCTTATCACATATCTAAAGTTGTGCGGAAAATAGCAAAGATATGATTAGAAAACATTTTCAGGATCTGTTTAGAGGGTGAACCCAAACTTTTGATCGATGACTTGAATACATATTTTCATGATTCAAATATTTTTAAATTTTTCCATCAAACTTTCTCAACTGGGCCGTTGAGTATTGAATAAGGGTTGCACCACCACTTTAGTTTCAAAATTTGGCTTATACCCCGTTCACATTACAACCTATATCACGTAATATAGGCTGTCTTGCAATGAGCACTCATACATAGGATTTCCAGTGAAAACTAGATGTATGAGTGCTCATTGCAAGACAGCGTATATCACGTGATATACGCTGTAATGTGAACGGGGTATTACCTATTCACGCTTATCCAGTGTAAATATTGAAACATTTTGTGACTTTAGATTTAGTATAAAACATCTGAGAAAAATAATTAGCGGCACCGGTGGTGTAGTGGCAAGCGTGATTGCCTCTCACTCCAAAAGTCCTGGGTTCAATCCCAGTCGGCGCCTGATCTGAGGCATAAAATCTCTGATCACGCCTTCCTTTGGAAGGGAAGTAAAGCCTTTGGTCCCCGGTCCATGAATTGATGGGTCGATAGGTAAGGTCCAGGTGTGAGGACTGCCTCCCTAGCAGGTTCCAGTAGCATTGATGCTCAGTATGGAAAACAAGATCGACGGAAAAAAAATCAAGGAAAAAATATCTGAAAATTAAATTGCGCCATTTGTGTAAGAAATAATTTTTATTCAATACCTTTCAAAAGACCTAAGGAGAACGAAAATTTGACGTAAAATGACAGAGATAGGGAAAATGTATGTAATGTCGGCCTAAGTGTCCCTAATTTGGGCCCATAAATAAATTCTGGAATCGACTAAATTTTCAATAGCAACCAAAAATATCCATTAATACCGTCCCAATGACACGTTCATCTAGATACAATTGATAAATAGCAGATTTTTAGCGATGGGCCCAATCTTAGATCCATAGGCCAACATTAGAGCCATTTCCCCTATGAACAAAACACACTTGCATGTTTTTTTGGAGGCAACCCCAAACTTATGATCGGGAGTGTAGGTGCGCATGCGAGATAAACTGATGTTAATGTTTACAATCACACATCATGACACTCTTAGTGTATTGGTGACCTAGCGTTGCGAAAAAAAGCCTATCCAGTTTGATCATCTCTCCTGTTCTTTCCACAGCATACTCCGGTCCCAGCGCGATCAGCTGAGCGAGGACGAGCGCGAGATGTTGGACATGGCCCGGGCTGGGGCGCGTGCTCTCTGGTCCCTGTCCGAGTCCCGACACAACAAGGAACTCATGTGCAAGGGTGGCATCGTCCCTCTGATGGGCAGACTGCTGAAGAGCGTCCACATCGACATCGTGGTTCCGACTATGGGTACCATACAGCAGTGCGCCTCGCAGGCCAACTATCAGCTAGCTATCACCACCGAGGGAATGATTTTTGACATCGTGTCGCACCTGACCTCGGACAACCTGGACTTGAAGCGGCAGTGCAGCTCTGCGATCTTCAAGTGCGCGAGCGATAAGGTAAGTCGGGTGGTTTACAGGTACAAATGCCCATTAGACTGATGCAAAATTTGACATTTTAGCTCCACAGTGCTCAAGCGGCTCCAAATCGGGTCCAGATTAGCCTCCCATGGTTTGAACAGATTTGGTAAGAAACTGACTGGGCACAACCAATTTGAAGTTTATATGAGAATTTCTATGGGGAAACCAAACTATTTTTTCGTAGTCTTCTATTCTTCTTCCATATAGCACCGTTAAAAAATTCTATAGTTATTTTTATGCAAAAATTTCACAGCTACAACTTTTCGGAATAATGTTTTTCAGCCAATTGTTTAAGATGACATGATCAAGCAACTGTTTTGTGGGCAACACTGTATTCTTTAGTGTGACATAGTATGTCTTAGCTCAATTCTACGTGCCAGAAACACCAATGTTGCCTGCTGACCAGTTGATAGAGCATAATCACAAGACAATAGTGACTTTAATCATTAATAACTTTTCATCCTTACATGTTATGGAAAAATGGTCTGCAACAAAGTTGTAGCTATGAAAATTTACTACAATTGCAGTAATCAAGTTTTAGATCAGAGTAATAGAGTGAATTATTAAATAGATACGTACACAAAATTTGGCTTTCCCATAGTAATTTCGATATAAACTTTAAATGGTTTGTGCCAAGTCAGTTTCTTGCTAAATGATTTTAAATTTTGGAAGGCTAATCAGGAACCAAATAGGAACCGTTTGAACACTGTGGAGCGAAAATTTCAAATTTTGCATCAGTCTAATGCCCATTTATATGTTCAAATAAGGGTTTGCGTTTAGATTTCTCTATATTCCGCAGAGTGAGTCAAAATTTGTAGTTTTTGAACTTAATGTCTCGAGCATAATTTTGATAGGGTACATGTACTAAATATTGGCCATACATTTCACTATGGTGTAAGGCCATGGTTTTGAAATTTCACCAATTTTCTCCTCTGGAATACACCATTTACAGTAGTGGCCTTTAAATTAGCACAATAGGTTGATTTTCATACAAACTATACACTTAGAAATTCAGCTACTTTGAGACTAAATCTCCACTAAAATGACAAGATCTGATCATTCAAACAAGGTTGTACATGTTTTGAAATTATTTTCAAATTCAATAACCTTTATAATGAAGGTCCCTCCCCTTGGCTAGTTTTTTGCACCTTTTTGTTGGTGGGCGGGCTTAATTTCATGCTTTTTAGTGGAGTGTTGGAGACGGTAGGTTTATGGCCGGCGTTGTTGGCTCATGCCGCGATAGAATGGTGCCATGGGCAGGCAATGGGGATTACTAAGCTTCCCCTCTCTGATAATCCACTGCATGATAGAACCAAAGATCTAGTCTAGCAGTGATAGTATTACACTTGTTACTCCTTTTAGCCGCGTCGTAGTACGCTTACGTATAGGCACTGACAGTGGGTGCGATACTGGGGGGTTTTGCCGCAAATAATTTTTTTTACGCAGATAGATTTATTTGGGTTTGCAAGGGAATTTTAGGGGTTTGAAAAATTTATTAAAGTACCCAACAGTGCTCCTTCTACTTGCGTGACAAGCTTTCATTGTTGTTTTCATTGAGGTATTACTCAGGGAACAATGTTAAACACCATTTTTGTACATGGCATTGTAACTAATCTTATATGTGCTTCATTTTGATTTGAGATAAGTGTTTGAACTATGACTCGGGATTTCCACTGTGGTGTGGTTCAATTGTGACATACCCATATGTATTTTTGTGGTGCCACATAGTGGAAACGTGAGAGCATAATTGGAACATTTACCCTATACAATATACAATTTAAAATTAGCTTGGAAACTATCTTCAAAGTGAAGCATTTTAGTCACTTGAAGGTGTCACCTGGGACGAACAAACATATAATTAATATATGTTAAAGCCAGAAGTACTTGAAACACGTTAAATTTTAGTTTAAAAGCATGGGTTATGATTGTGTAGGTAGATTAGAGATTTCAGTTATTTATTGAATAAGACTAAATAAACATCAAATGAACTTCAATTAGAGAATTCAGAAAGTTAATTAACATAAGAGATAGGACGCGGGGGGTCCGCTTAGGGAGGCAACTAGCCTTTAGAGTTGTATAATAAATCTTTCTATTTAGTATATTTGTTAATTACAGGCAATGTCAAAAGCAGTCATATCTTCAATCAGGCGCTTACGAATAAGTGAAGTTTTAGGAAAGGTGTGTTAAATATGTTGATAGGATTGAAATAAGAATTAGGATTGTTGTGCTTTAGTTTTCGATAAGGTGTGATGGGTCAACTAAACCCTTTTGAGCAAATTTACAAAAAATCAAATTGATTGAGTGATCTATTGAAAGACATTGCGTTGCGTTAGAAAACAGTATTCTTCTCTAACGAAAATTGACAAGTCATACATCTAACATAGTAGTAGTAGCAGTGACGTATAATCAAATCACAATTTCTGTCAATAGTGCTGGAGGGGCCGGCAGGGCTGAATATGGATCAAAACTAACATAACTCTTAACACTAAAATGATCCCGGAACTAACACTCATCCATTGCACTTTTAGTTATATATTAGTTTTATTTTCCAACTAATTTATCTATGCTTCTTTCTATTGTTTGGATCAAGTACAACTAATACTAATCTACCTTTATGTATGATTTAATCCATTTTAACCCATTATCTTGGCGAATCATATGGAGCTGGAACTCAAAGAAATAACGTGATTTCAATGGACTAAGGAGAAGGACTAGAATTACTCCGAACAGGATACCAAACAAATTCAGGACCAATCCAAATCAGACCATACACCAACAAGGCATCGGGGCGTTATATACTCGGAGAGGTATTTGATAAATAATCAAAAAGTGGTGAGGTAAAATCAGAGTAGAGCCAAGGATCATGAGAGATAATTGTCAATAATTCATTAATTAGTAGAAATCTCGATAACTTTTTCAAAGGGACGTGTCGGCTTTTGTGGGCAGTACATTGGATCGTCAATTTGGCGTAGCTGGTGGCTCGCCTACGCGTTGGCGATCGGGTGCATTGTTTGCTGGAGCTGATACGTCTCTTTGAAAAAGTAGTCGAGAAATAACCATATTATCTTATAATTGATATTGCTATATTTAAAATAAGGGTTTAACGAGTTTAAAAACAGATAGGGAAGGACAATATACACAAGTTGACACAATACACAAGACAAGTTGGGGTTAATACACAAGACAAAATGACAAAATAAGTGACGACAGAAGACAAGACTGGGACAAAAATCAACCTTAAAAAAAAACAAGAATGCGCAATCAAAACGCTATCAAAACTATTTGGATCAACAAAAAAACAACAGGGACCAAACAGGCACCATAGCCTATTTAGGAACGTCTGTGTGTTGATTTAAATAGAGGCTCATAGAAGCAAAATTTATCAATAAAAGGGGTCCAGTATAGAGTTTAAGCAAGTGCTGCCACTGTGATCACTACAAAAAAATAACCTTTAAAATGAAGGTCAAAGTTTTACCGAACGTTCAGATGTTATGATTTCGGTAAAATTTACCCAACACGAAAACAAAATCATAGTATGTAGCCAACTCTGACATGTTGCAACTATGTTTTGTTATGATCAATCAAGCTGAAATTTTGAAACAGAACTAAAAATAATGAAGTAATGAAATTGGGTTTATCATATCAAAACATAGTTGCAACATGCCAAAGTTGGCTAGTTTGTATGAAAATCGGCCTAAATATTGTGCTAATTTAAGGGCCACCACTGTACATGCCCAGGAGTTCATCATTTGGCAGTTCCGGACTATGGACTCTTAAAAATAGACAAAAAATTGTGGCACAAGTTTGTTGAAAAATTACAAAGACGCCATTTTGAAAAATTTACAAAATCTAAAATAACTATTTTTTTGCAAAAAAAAACTGTGAATTACTGCCCACGACAAACAATTCTGCAAAATTTCATGAAATCGCAGAAGATCGAGTTGTTCCGATTCGTCATTTGGCGTTCCGATTTTTGGATTCTCCCCCTTCCCCCCCTCTCTCATTGCAGACAGCGAGCGATATGGTACGTGAGTCGGGAGGCTTAGAACCGTTGGTCGGTATTGCCCGGGACAAATCCGTGCGGGACAACAAGCCTTTGTTGGCGGCAGCTACGGGTGCACTGTGGAAGTGTGCGGCTAGTGAAGCGAATGTGAAAAAGCTTGATCAACTGAAGACAGTTCAGGTTCTGGTACAACTACTCAACGACGAGAGCGAAGATGTACTTACTAATGCCGTTGGGGCTATCTCGGAGTGCGTCAAGTATCAAAACAACCGCGAAACGCTACGCATGTGCGGTGGCATACCACTATTGGTCAATTTGCTCAATATGACTCACGCACCGCTCCTGGAGAATATCGCCAAAACGCTGAAGGAGTGCGCCACAGACCCGGAGAGTATGACCATCATGGAAGATCTGGATGCGATCCGTTTGATTTGGTCTCTACTGAAGAACTCCAATCCGAAAGTGCAAGCCTACGCTGCATGGGCACTTTGTCCGTGCATCGAAAATGCAAAGGTATGTGCAGTACAAGATTTTACCTGGTGTTCTAATGTTAGTCCCATTGTTTGTAGGATTCCGGAGAGCTGGTGCGTAGCTTCGTTGGTGCTTTGGAACTGGTCGTCGGACTGCTCAGCTCTCGGGATAACTTTGTCTTGTCGGCGGTTTGTGCCGCCATTGCCACCATAGCCAAGGATAGGGAAAACCTGTCGGTCCTGTCGGATCACAAGGTCATTCCCATGTTGGCCCATCTCGTGTACACGACGGACGATCTGCTGAGGGAAAATTTGGCCGCAGCTATAGCAAGCTGTGCACCGTATGCTTCGAACACCCAGGAGTTGGGTCGCCTTCGAACCGTGACGCCCATAGTCGGCTACATGGTCAGCAACAATCCGCGAGTTCATCGGACGACGGCAATGGCACTGCAGAAGCTCTCGGAAGACCCTCAGAATTGTATCACGATGCATCAGGTGGGTTTGGGAAGAGCTTTTCCCGTAATTGGTTGACTAATATTTGTGTTTCTTTTTCTGTTTCGTATGTGTCAAGAGCGGCGTGGTTCCATTTCTGTTGGAAACTGTCGGCTCTAAAGATCGTGAACTACAGGAGGCTTCCGCTGGTTGTCTGCAAAATATTAGGAAATTGGCTCTCCGGGCAGAGGAGCTAGAATTCCGTGGCGAGTACTAGCGAAATAGTTTACGGTCTAGGATGATTTCAATTCTCATTTAGGTTTGATAAGATACGGAATCTAGTCGATGTTTTATGGACTGTTCCACTAAATTTTGGATTTGATTGTTTATTGCATTGAAAATTTGTGTAGAGAATAAACTCAATTGTTTGAATGATCTTTGGGGGCTATCCATATACCACGTGGACAGTTTAGGTTCAAGGAGGTTGATGTTTGTTTACATAGGGGGAGGGGGATCTAAAATCTCTTGAAAACTGACCACATGGTTTGCGAATAGCCCCTTACGTTTATAAAAAAAAAATAGTGACATGACACCACCTTTCAACAAAATCAATATATCTTAAAAGCTTAATTCTAGCTTTTCGTTTACAAATTTAGAATCAAGTTTCGTTGGCCTTGACCTTTTCAAGCCGATCGAAAATTGAAATAAGTTCGATATTGCTCATCACAGACTTATTGGTCGGTGTTAAGTCAGATGGGACTAATTATTATTTATTTATTTCGAGAAAAAAATGAATTTAAAGTTTGTTTAGCAGCATTGCGTCTTATGAATAGGGTAACCCGTTTTTCCGTTGTCCCTTGCTTACATTTACCAAATATACCAAACAGGCTTGTATTGCTCATTACAACTAAAATGTTATTTTTCGTAATTATGAAACTATGAGATACTATAATGATATTTTTAATTTGTAAGAAGCAAGAAGAGGTGGAAAAGTTTGTGTATGACATATAAAATTTGTCAATTTTGCTATCAGAAGGTCACAACTAGTGTTTTTATAATCGCTGAATGCTCGTCACATTGCTCATCGTTACAGCTAATCTCTATTGTGACCCTCTGAAAGCTAAATTAACAGGTTTTATGTGTCATACTCACACTTTATCTTCTCTTCTTGCATCTTGTAAATAACAATTATCATTAAAATATCTCATAACATCATAAATCCGAAAAAAAAAGTATTTAAGCTGTAATGAGCATTTGCCAGCTTGATGTCAAACAGCATTTTCTGGCAAAATAGCGAAGATTTGCATGAAGCCTTGCGTAATTGTTTAAAATGGGTGATGTTTCACATTTTTACTATAATTCGGTCATTTTATATCATGTTTTATTTTCAAAATGGCATCCTTAAAATTTTCAAAAAATTAAATCACGGAAATGGCATTTCTGATTGAAATGACGTCTGACCAAAGTTGAAGAGAAAAATAATGTCTTTCTTCATTTTTATTTTAAAACATTTTTAACATTTTACTTTAAGTAAAAAATTGAAACTAAATTAAAACCCCAAATATCTCAATATATAGGTTAAATGGCTCTAATGTTAACCTATGCTTGATCCCATCGCTAAAAATCTGTTATTTATCAATCTTATCTAGATGAACGCGTCATTGGGACGGTACTAATGGATATTTTTGGCGCTATTAAAAATTTACTCGATTGCAAAATTTATGTTTGAGCCAAAATTAGGGGCATTTAGGCCGACATTACATCCAATTCACCTGCTTACCCGATTTAAAAAGAAAAAAGTGAAAAAGAGCTTATGAAATATCTAAAACCATGAACTCTTGAAATCTTGCAAAATTCGTATAACATGAACTGTTGGTAAAATGATGGGCAACGGGTTGACTCACCAGGAAATTTTGCGGGACGGGCTTCGGGTTTATATGTACCGGGACGGGTTTCTCTTCTTCTCTATTCCTTACAGGTGATGTAAAAGCGATTAGCTTCCACGGGCAGCGGCAGCGGCAACAGCAGAATATACAGGCGAAACGAAGTTTAGGATAGGCTCCTCCAGTTGCAGCAGGTTGGTGCCCTCCAATAGGGGAGACTCACTTGCCTTTCTTCCAATCAGCAACGGAATCACACACGACTGGAAACTAACGCGCGACGGGTAAGAATCGGGGAAAAACTCGGGAAAAACGCACTTTTCGGGAATAGCAAAGAAAAACAACTTTCACTTTCAATTGCTTCCTACGTTGTTGACGATGATTGACGTATCGAACTTGAAAACGTCTGCCTCAGGTTCCCAACTGATGCCGAGTGTTTTGATGGTCTCTTCGGGGCTGAACTTGATGGAAGATTGAGTGCCGAGAAGCTCTGGAGGAAGACCATCCAATACCTGCAGCGAATTCGAGCACCACTTCCGCAAAAGAAAACCACCCTTCTGCAGAAGCTGCATCAACTCCGTGCGCAATTGGATTGCTCAATCGATTGTGTTGTCACCGGTAATGAAGTCGTCCACGTACACATTCTTCCTCAGTGCCTTACTTGCCTTCGGATATTGACTTCCATGATCTTCAGCTAACTGCAACAGAGTTCTCGTGGCTAGAAACGGAGACGGCGCGAGTCCATACGTAACGGTGCACAGCTCATAAGCTTGAACGGTTCCGCTGCTACTGGGTGGCCACAGAATCTTCTGCAATGGCCGATCTGTATGGTGCATCAATACCTGCCGGTACATCTTCTCCGCATCCGCCACTACTGCGATCTTGATCATCCGAAAACGAAGATGAATGTCCAGAATGTCGTCCTGAACAACTGGCCCAACTAGCAGCGCATCGTTGAGAGAATGTCCGGTGCTAGTTTTCGCTGAGCCATCGAACACAACTCAAACCTTGGTCGTCGTGCTCGATTGTTTCACCACGGGATGGTGCGGGAGGTAGCAATTGGTTGATCCATTATTATCGTCATGGGGATCGAGAACCATATGGCCGAGACTGATATATTCTTCCATGAACGCGTAATACTGAGCCTTCATTTCATCATCCTTTTGCAGCCTCTTGTCCAACCACTGTAGACGCCGCATTGCCATGGCTCTAGATTCCCCAATCATCTGGTCACATTGGGGATGTTTGGGTATCCGAACGATATATCGTCCGGTAGGATCTCGGGAAACTGTCTGCTGATAGAAATCCTCGCAATTCTGCTCGTCTACGGAGTAATTTGAGCCGCTTACTTCCTCGATCTGCCAAAATCGCTGCAGCAGTTCATCAACCGGTACAACTGTCGCCACATGACAAGTTGCTATTGGCTGATGGTAATTACCGCTGGACTCATCGATCTTTCCAGAGGCAATCCACCCAAACACGGTTTCGACGAATAGGAGACTTGGGAGGCGGAACCGTCCATTCCGCAAAAAGGAAAAGAAGTGAGCAGCTCCAATGATCATGTCCACCCTACGAGGTGTGCCAAAGTCGGGATCCGCCAGTGGAAGATCGTTGGAAAGCTTCAGTTCAGATGCGTTGAACGGTACGGATGGAGTGTCGCTGGTCACTTTCCGCAATACCAGGAAATCAATCACCTCACGAAAGTCGGACACACGTGATCGAACCTCGGCAGATACTTCATGCTTGGCGTTCGTAACGGTCCCATCTACGCCAGCGATCGGCACGTTAACAGACCTACGGTTAAGGTGAAGTTGCTGACAAAGACGCTCGCTAATCGCATTCGGTTGGGATCCAGTATCCAACAAGACACGGGCGATGTGCTCTTGACCGTACGCATCTACTACCAGCAAGACTACGGTGGTCAGGAGAACACTGGTTGATTGAGCCACTGCCATCGAGGACGGGGGTTCGTTTACGGGAACAGCGGAAACGGCGGCAAGCATAGTGGAAGAACCTGGATTGGCAAGTTCAGATACTGAATTTTCATTGGTGGTTGGCAAGTTGAGCTCGTATGGCCCCGGATGGATCATCGAATGATGTCGCTTCGAGCAATGCTTGCATGAATACTTCGAGCGACAGTTGCGGGCAAAGTGATCACTACGGACGCAGTTGCTGCAAAGTTTCTTGTCCGTAACCACCTTCATACGACCTTTCGAGTCCAGACCGTTGAAAACGGAGCAATCGAAAATGGAATGTTTCTGCCTCTCACAAGCAGGGCACATCGGGAACGATTTTGCTGCAATTTCAGTTGCTGCATTTGCGCTGAATCGGGGCTGGTTTGATTTCTTCGGAGCTGAAGGATGATTAACGGACTTGGGATTAACATGCTGCGGTCGGTTGATAGAAATCGTCTCAAGTACGCGCGCTCGCTTCTGCAGAAACTCGACCATTTTGGAGTACGTAGGGTGTTCCTCCGTTGCGATCGATTCTTCCCATGCTGTAAGCGAAGCGTCGTCCAACTTGTCCTCGAGCAACTCGATGAGGATTGAACTAAACTGCTCGACTGGCTCACCAAGTTGTTCCAGAACTATGGTGTGGCGCTGAAACTCGTCCACAATTCGATGAAGCGCTTCCACGGTGTTACTCTGGATCTTCGGGTACTTGAGCAGGGCTCGGATGTGTTTTTTTTTTCGGAGAATGGCCTTGTTCGAGTAACGATTGATTAACGTCTCCCACGCGACAGCGTAATTACTTGCCGTTATCGTTATCGACTGGATCAAGTTGGCTGCCTCTCCCTTCAGGGCAGCCCGGAGGTAATGGAACTTCTGCACCTGCGATATCTCCGTGGACGAATGTATCATCGACAGAAACGTATCGTGAAATGTCAGCCAGTTGTTGAAATCGCCATCGAACTCTGGCAGCGATATCGTCGGCAGCTTTATATTGGCGAGGGTGGTTGGAGCAGCAGGTGCGGTAGATGGACCAGCAACAGCAGGAATGGCGGCAACTTCGTGGCTAGGCCTGCCTTCACACGGAAATAAACTTCTTCTACCTTTGCTCTCAGCTCCAAGTTGTTTTCCAAAGATTCTTCGGAGTCATCCAGATCTTCACATTCTTCCTGCAGGGTCTCGAATACGTCCCACACCTTCTCCAGACGATCCAATCCATGGGAAACTTCATGCTGATGCTGCTCGGGAACGTAGTCGGTGAGAAACTGATCTAATCGATTGATCCGTTCGATGGCATTCCTTCTTCTAGCCTCCTTCATCTTGATCCGTTTTTCGTCAGACATCTCGTAAACACGGCACAAGCAATAAGGCTAAAATGGTCAAAAATAGACCCAAGAAGCACCGCGATGATGGACGTAGAGGAGAGGTACTCACCTTGTACCTCTTAGAATGAGGCCTTTTGTTTTCAAAATCACGATCCGGGAACATTTTTTCCAGTGGGTACGAGCTGATTTGGGCCACTCTAATGCGGGCACAATAGCGTCGAAGTGAGGTTCCACTGACGACTTCACGCGGTCGGGAAAGGGACACCAGTATCCTGGTCACGGCACCATATTTTTTTTTCCAGAGATTGAAATTCTCGCTCAACTGCAAAATAATCTACGCATCACTCAAGCTGTTATTTGCAGAACTGAGCACCGGCAGTATTTTCATCTCTCATTATTTAACGATTATTCATTATCCTCTCCCATCTAAACCGTAAAAAAAAAACGCTCTCTCAAAATCGCCTCCCTTTGGACAACGAAAATATTTGCTGATGTCCGAGCAGGAGTGTAAAAAATAAGCGTTTGAGTCGAATGTGATATGGGAAATGGCTCTAATGTTGGTCTATGCATCTAAGATTGGGCCCATCGCTTAAAATCTGCTATTTATCAATTTTATCTAGCTGGACGCGTACATATGACATATGAGTTGAAAAAGTAATTAGAACTGTCAGAAATGGCTTTTGACTTCAATTTAGATGGGCTACAGTCCAACTAACGACTCCTTCATTTTATTTTATTTTGATCCTATGTTGGCCAACCAATGTGAGGCTAAGTGAATTGACATTAAACCATGTCAAACTCCGTCATCCAGTTAAACAGTAGGCGAACAAAAAAGCCTAAAAATTCACACCGCCTCACCTGTTAACAGCGATGCCATTTTGCCTGATTTTTGTACAAGAAAAAAGAAAGGACAACCATGTTTATTTTGATATCGGTAGGTAATTTAACCAGTTTGTAGCATCAAAAATAGTTTCAAAAATTAACTATTTTTTGAGCTAACTAATTTGTTTCAGAACCTTACGGTATCAAAATATACAAGAGGATCCCATCTATTTTCGTGTTCCAAAATCCGAAAATGTGGAATCACTGGCTGTTAATAAAGGGAAATGGATGTAATGTCATCATAAATGCCCCTAATTTGGGCCCATACATAAATTCAACAATCGGCTAAATTTTCAATATCCATTAGTACCGTCCCATTAGCCGGAGGCGGCGGGTTCGATTCCCGGTCCGGTCGAGGGAATCTTTCGGGTTGGAAATTTTCTCGACTTCCCTGGGCATAGAGTATCATTGTGCTTGCCACACAATATACAAATTCATGCATTGGTATTGGCATCGAAAGCTCTCAATTAATAACTGTGGAAGTGCATTTAGAACACTAAGTTGAGAGCACGCAATAAGCTAATATGCGCTAAGCAATAAGCTTGAAATGCGAATAAGAAGAAGAAGTAGTACCGTCCCATTGACGCGCTCATCTAGATAAAGTTGATTTAGTTAGCAGACATTAGAGCCATTTCCACTATCTTAAAAGTCTGAAAGAAATTTAAATTATAACCTATTTTTTCATGATTTTTCTATGACTGAGATTCGAAATTTCAAAATCCAAATGTTGTTTTAGTTCCAATCTCGAAGATTTTTTTCTCTCCAACTGAACCGAGGTAAGTTTTTCAAGATCTTTGATTACGATATTATTTTGAAGTCGAAAAGATTGAAAGCTGGTCGGAGCTGAATTTTTTAATTATTTGGTATTTTTCTGCATTGAAAAACATTTGGTCGATTTTGTTTAATGTTCGACTAGGTGCAACAAAGAAAAAATGTTAAAATTATCAATTCATTTTTTTTTTTAATATTCACGTACTAGGATGAGTACTTAAGGGGGTTGATCTTGATAAGTTCTTTAGTGGGAATGACACTGATGAAGACTGCACATTGTAGTCGAAATACGTATCTGTCGTGGATACCAAAATTAATAAAGTAGAATTAAATGAAAGATAACCTTTTTGCTGTTTTATTTAAGCATTCCGCTAACAACCCAATTTCTTTATCTAACAAGAAAATTTTCTTAAGTTTGAGATCCTTAAAAACCTTATGAGATTGTTTAGAAATAAATATAATTAAATTTAGTGTTTCACCATTAAAATAAAAGCAAGCCTCGCCATAATTGGTTATATTATTTGACGAAATTGAAATTTATCCTACAGGAAGATCAAATAACAAATAGCCTTGACGCCTTTTGATTGAATAGCAGTTTAAGAGTTTCTAGTTAACCGTAGTTTAACAAAACAAAGTAATGCCACAGGCCCCACCTAGGTCCTCTTCAGTCAAATTTTCTAGCTACGTCAATGCAAACATATCTCTCCCTTCAGATTCTCATGCATTTTCACGCACTCATACTCCCAACGCAAAACATATTATTCCAGGTTAAAAATCGTCAAAATCGCTCAAACGTCAATTGATAGCATACTTATGCATGTTGTGTTAGTTTTTCATCCAGTGATGCAAAAACAACAGTAGATAATTACAATGAATATCGCCAAAATATAGAGCAATGAATTTTTGAACCTGAAAACTCATCGGTGATTTTTGCGCTAGTGAATTTTGCAGGGACAAAACTCCGAACACTGTGAATAACCATGGGTTTGCGAACGGCAGACTCACCAGCACATGAATCAGCACAAGTTTTCACTAGATAAATCAGCTCAACCAACTAGCACGAATTTCAGTTGCTCCTGAAATCTTATGCTGACTACTTTTTAGTACAGTTTTAGAACACTAGCACACCAGGACAAGTGTAAACACGCCATATGCCCGGTTTACATTAGTGCTGGTTCATTACCCTAGCAACACACATGTTCTATAACAGTTTATGTAACCTTTGCATGGCTGGATTTGGTTGTAAAGAAGTTTACTCATACTTACTACATAATTATATGAATTGGTGTTACTTGGGTAGTGCAGATGAGCTACTTGCTAGCAAACATGGACATCAGCATTTTGTTAACAGTTGTCTGCAACTGGTTCCTGATGAATTCTGATGAATGTGGGCGTTTTGCGTTAAGCAACTGATTGTTATTGGCAACCCTGTTTTAGGTGCTCCTGAATTTGCAAGCTGACTATCATTTTGGGTTTTCAGTATGATTGGAATGCTTGCATTGTGTCAAAACTACTTCATACTGATTGTTATTTTCGTAATAGGGTGTTTACATCTGTGTTCGTGTGCTTGTGCTAGTGGGATTAGGGTGGTCCTCAAATGATTGTCGAAGATTAATTAAGTTCCTATTTTTTGAAAATAATGACGCACGCTCTGCAAAAAGTTGAAGCTGAGATTATTTCAAGCAGGCTTCCGGAAATCTCACGCGTACACAAATGCGACAGCGAGCTGTGAGACGGAGCGTCGCATGACTCTCAAATCCATGGTGTGCTACATTAATTGTACAAAAGAGAGACCAGAACGATGCGCGCGACAAGCTACACGCTCTCAACAAATTCGAGCGTTTCAATTTTTTTTTTGTCTCATCGCATTGCTCTCTCAATGCGACGCATGTATTCAGTCACATGCGACTGTTTCATTGAAACATCTCAATGCGCTCTCTCAGGGCGCCATCGCCGTGCGCTGTTTCGCATGCCTTGACTCTCGCGGTCCCATCATATGTGATGTCGGGTGACGAGAGAAGGCACAGAAGGCTTGTGTGCCCTTTTCACATGTGGCTTTTGAAATGGGGTGAAGTTTTTAGATGGTTCCAGAAATATCTTCTAGTAAAGATTCAAGCAGGCTCAACACATGGTTCCAGAGATATACTGGAAACACCGTAAGATCACCATTCATGCTCCTAGGAAGACGCAATTGCTTGTCGAAAGGATTCTAAAGGAAGGTAAAGGAAGACTACGTGAGCGGTGGATGGCAACCTTACGGTAGTTGGGATACCGTTAGCATGTTAGCACCCCAAATAATTCCGGAATAAATATCTCTGGAGCTATTTGTCCTTCAACAAGTCCTTATGCGGAAATCTTCTAAAATACTTTTTTTTTAAGCCTCTGAAGCTTTCAGCCCATTTGGCGGAAAAATAAACAAGCTATTGCGCATTTGCACCAAATTAGACTGCCGCGCTAAAAAAATCCCTCAGAATACTTTTACTCAGACCAGTAAAAAAATAAATGGACGATTTTGAATGTAAATAAAAACAAAAAAATGAGTTAATGATATCATAAGATCAAGAATTCCCTCAGCTACATTTCACTTTTTCAGCCAGATTTGAAAAATTAGAGTAGCAAGCGAAAACGGTCGAAAGATTTGTCCCATTACATAAGACACAACATTGAACAGCCAACTTTTAATTCATTTTTCTCGAAATCAAAAAAAAATGTCACAGTTCGGTCTGACTTGACCGATCATATCAACACGCTAGTAATGATGTAACTCTGAAGATTAATATTTGTATTTTGTCTGGCTTGAGTGAACAATATTTTATGGGATTATTTTCAACGCAGAAGTGTACTTTGCTGCAAAAACGTTGGTGGTGACTTCTCATGACATACACACAAATCTACACTTAAAAATTAACCAAGTTTAACATGCTGTAAATTTGT